CAATCTGGTTTGGATTCTGGTTGGTTTTTTTTTTTTGTTTTTTGGTTTTTTTTTTCTCTTTTACAGGTTGATTCGAATCTGTGAAAAAAGGGGCTATTTTAAGATTCAGAAGATTTGTCTTGAAATCTGTCTGGAACAGCGGTTCTTGAGGCAAGCTTGTATGCTAGTACAAGTTTTGTATATATGTTGCACTGTAACATAAATGAAACAGCATTTCTCAATCACCCTCAGGGATCCCTTGCTATTTCCCATAGAAAGCCTCCCACTCTTACCCCTTCTGTTTCACAGTGCCTAAGTTGAACACTGAAAAAATCTGTCTTGCTTAGGTGTTTTTGTTTTCTCCTTATAATTTCTCTACAGGCTTTCCTGAAAGGGAAATATAGCAGGGCACTTCAATGCTGAAGGTATTATTCTGTCCTATTGTCTCATTTTACCTTCTTAATTTACCAAATCTTACCTAAACAAAGTACCTAATTTGCAGCAGAGGATACCATCTGTCACTTAGTGTGTTCAACTGTGYACCTTCTAAAAATATTTTTATCCTGAAACTACCACTATAGTTAGCATGGGAAAATGATAAAAAGCCCATTTAAGTTCACAAGAGTTGTTGCCTTGAATAAGATTAGTATTTCTATTCATTTATTTATTATATCAAAACATAATGTTAAGTCATTTTTAAATCCAAACAGTTTGGAAAGCTCCTTCTGTTGCTTATGTGTGCTAAAGCCCAAGCTGAGGCTCTCATGTTTGCCTTGCAGCAACAAATGTCAATTTGCACTCCATAAAGCATTGTGCACAGAGTGTAGTTGTAATTGTAGATGGCTGTAAGACATGCTTCCCTCAAGGATCACTGTTCCAGAAAGGCCCTCATACCATGCTAATATTCAGGTAATATCCTTCAGGTTGATTGGGTTCATATTTGAAAATGAAGCACAGCACTTAGTCTCACAAAGGGGTAAGAGCCATGAGACCCAGCCTAACAAGGTCCTTTAGCAGACCATGTACATACGTAAGTGCTTTAAAGCCAGAGCACTTAGCATCTTCTGGGATTTAGCTGGTAGTCTATGGAAGAAACAGATATCCTCAGAATGTTTTCTGTTCTCTGGTGGAATGAACACATGTCCATACCATGAAGATACTTTTAAAAACAAAAGGCATCTCTGCCTTCTCTTTTTACATTAGTGGTACATTGGAAAACATTAATGATACATTGGTAAGTATAAAATCTACTTACCACAGCATTGTGTCCCCTTCATTGAAAAAAAAAGTACCTGTTTCTAATACCTGTTTCTAATCAGTAAGTATTTGCTCAAATATTAACTGTTCAAATAGCAACTACATTGAGGTAGCTGCAGTTGTCTCAGTAGCATTTGTCAGTCAGAGCAAAGTTATTCTGTTTGCTTCTTTTCTAATCCTTGTTCTTTGCACTTCAAGAGAGAATAGGTTAAATTCAAACCTAATCACACCAAAGCAATTCTACAAGCAGGACAACAGGGCATGCAACCCCTAGTTTATTATTTTTAGACTTTGTGAAAAGTCTTTGGTTGTTAATATCCTATCTTCAATGTCTGATAGAAAGGCAAGTCTATTACTATTACCCAGTGATACTTTCCCAGTTCACAGGACTTCTTTCTAGGTCCATCACATCTGTTTAAACAGGTTTATAAGGATGCTCTTTACTGCAACTGACCTTCTCCTTGTATAACTTTTTTTGGCTGGATCTATGACTCAGCCTGTAGACACCATAGCCTAATGTCAAAAAGTGCTGGAGGGATCAACACTTACACCTCAACCAYTACATTACAAACCAAAGTTGGCTGTCAGACAAAATTGCTCCAGCCAAGAAACTAGTGCTTCTCTCTTTATGTACCAAGTATCACACAAGACAGGAAAACAGAGGAGCCCATGAAGCAAAATATTAGCCCAGCAGTAGACTGGCAAGAGAGCTTGAACACATAGTCTCCCCTTGCTYCTCCCACCCCAAGGTTCTCATAGCTGTCCAGCATTGCTGCGTGGTGCTCCTGCCAAGCAGGTGTCTCTGCTTCCCTGATGGGTGGTAACAAATTCGRGTTCAATTTGTGCAATGGAAACTGTTTCCATTACAAGCATAAGTGAAATACATCCAAGCAACTGATTCTGGGATCCCAAAGCCCACATGTTTTCATAACCTGTGCCARCATAGCCTTATCCTTTTCACAGGTCAGTTCAATGATTTCTTTGTTCCTCAGCTCATGACACACAAGTCAGCAAACATCACCTTCACTAAGGCAGGTACTCCTCCAAATCTCCTGGTTTAGAGGCCCAAACCTGGTCTGCTCAGAGCTTCATGTTCAAGAGATTATTAATGCAAGAGAACCACTGCAAAAAGCCTACACATACATTCCTTCCTTATACATAATTTAAATACTGTCACCACTTCTTTCTTCACAGTCTAGTCATTCCTCCATTCATCATTCTGCAAATCAGTCTAGTACTGAACAGAAGAATTGCATCATATTGTAACAATTTGACCAATCCTAAACTGAGGCTGCCATAGATGAATAAACTGCAGACTGTGACAGATTTTTTAATTACCTGGTGGTTTTAGTTGGTCATGTATGATCAGAGCATTTTCAACTTTGCAATACATTTCTCACAGACAGGAAAGACAGCTTGAGCTATACTTCAAAGGCTCATGTCAAGTCTCCCTTTAACACACATTTATAGGAAGCCAGCCTCTATATTAAGATGAATCAACATCTTAGTACATTATATTTTTGATATTTTCAACATTKTCTAGAAACTCTGGAATATCTTTTAATCACAAAGTACATGACTTGGCTCTATCTTTGAGAGAAGGCCCACTGAAGTCCTTCAGGGGATGGATACAACAGTATCTATAGTAACCATGCTAGCAAAATTCAGCAGCAAGAAAAAAACTTTTGAAATCTGATTACTCTTCAAGTCCTGCTATCTGCATTTCAGTTATGCTGACTAGCAATCAGTTTGCTTATTTAAACAAATAGTTATCTATACCACAGATAGTGTTTTCTGTAACAGCTGACAGTTTATTCAGGTGTTAAACTTAACACTGCTCCGGCACTACTGCTTGATCTCACAGCTCAGATACCTAGCTTAATGAACCTTTCATAGGTATGGTTTTGCTCATGGGTGACATGACCTAAGTTTTGATATTCCATTCAAAAATTCAGAGTAGCTGTGCAAGCAGTTCTTCATTTTAAAGGCATTGAGTTCAAATTCCTGAATTATTATAGGATCTTCTATATTTTTAATTTATACAGTCTTTCCCCAGATAAAAACTAGCATTCAACTCAATAGTTAAAAGGTTCTTTATTTTACTCTTAGACTTAGGCTTTCAGGAGACCTTAAAAATCAGTTGCACAACAAAGACTGATATTGCAAAAAAGTGGAGGTGCAGCTCAAAAGGAAAAAACCCAAACCCACAGTGTCTTTACATATAAAAATATATATCCAAATCATTACCTAGGGAAAGTGTACCACCATTTCTGCCTTAAGCTGATCCTGCCAGCCTTTGGGTCATGACTCCCCACTACAGAGCTCAAGAGCTCACACTGGAGGGACCATCTCCGAGGTTCATGTCACAGGCATTATTCAGAGCAAACTGCTTTGCTGTAGCATATGGACCCAGTCTTAAGTTTTCTGAAAGCATTCCATAGTTTTCCCATGGACAGCGGRTAAAATGCATCCAAACATCTCCTGAGAAGCATAGGTCATATACACAAAGCCATCTTCATCTCTGTAATCCCTGTACACTTCTGTCATTGTCAAGGACATACTGGCTAGGCTTTTGTTGTTCACCAGGAGGTAGAAGGCTTGTGTAGCTGTTAGAGCCATCCTGCTTCTAATCAAAAAAGTGAAGAGAAAAGGAGGATTAAACATTAGCAAGTTGAATATGATTTCAGCTTCAGTCTATGAYATACGTTAAGCTGAGCTGTCACATGAACTAGGTACAAGAAATGCTGAGTTAATCAATTCATTACATGGTTTAATATTTCCATCATCAGGAAATCAGCTGTATGTCTGGAAGCTCAAAGATYTGTGCTCTGAGGAAAGGCTTACATGGCTACACCAAAGGTGCTACTGAGCATAGGCTTGGAGTACCCAATTAGAAACCAAAAGCTTCTGCAGTGCAGTTTGTAAAGGATTCCAGCCCCAGTCTGTTACATTTACTATAAAGTCTGCCTTCAAAAAAAAAGTCCAAGTATTAGGATCTAAATTGACCAAGAGCCAAAAGCATCTTTTACAGAAGTTATAATCTAGAAAGATCTTTTTCTATATTTTAGTAAGTGTGCTGAAGAACATAACTTTCATATTTTGTCAGAAAATGCCACTAAATCTTTTGGGAGACTTCTTTGCTGTAACATTTCATAAATAACAATTTAGAGGCACATTTGATTTCACTCACATTCAATAGTTGCTTTGAACTTGAACAAATCCAGCTAGGTGAAGTAAGAGAGCAAGGCAGTGACAATCCTAAGCAGAACAAGATCACAGAGCCCCAATACCCAGTCCATGAGGCAGGAAGAAAGCAGAGTAAGTCTTATATAGTCTTTTTTCACTACAGTTAGGGGGAAGAGAGAGGACTGTGAATCCAAAGAAGACCACATTTTTCCCCCAAAGGCACCTGCGAAAACATCTGTTGATTTTCTTCAAACACTTGCAAGAGAGGGAAGCCATTACATTACTAACRTGTTTATCCTTTATCCTCCTCCCCACCAAAGGAAGCAAGACTTCCCCAGCACCACACTAGGAAATACCTTCTTGGGGAACAGCAGCTGAACCCAGCTGCAGCTCTTACTCACCCGTATCCGTCACCCACCTGATGATGGTTATGAACTGTGCCATGGTCAGCTCCTCGGGAACGAGAAACTTGGTTTTGTCCAAGAGAGGAAGGTATTTCTCTTTATGGTATCGCTCAACAATTACCTGTTTTAATTAGAGTTACACTTAGCAAAACCTAAATTATTCAGTCCCTTCCCCTCCCGTTACACGCTTCTTGTCTTAAACAGCGGCAACAACCTCCAAAAATAAATCAGAAATTTACCGGGATTTTTGTGGGGAATTTGGCTCGGATTCCTGCTACTTCTTCCCGCCGGGTGGCTGCGGGGCAGGAGAGAAAAAAAGCATTACGTGTGCTTGCAGCCCCTCCGGCACCGCGCAGCCCCTCCGCGCCCCCGGCACCCTTACCGAGACTCTTCCTGAGCTTGAAGGGCCGGGCCGGCTGCGCCCCGGGGGCCGCCCGCATCCTCCCGCCGCTGAAGCCGCCACGCCAGCGCCTCGCACGGACCAGGATCGGGATGGGATCGGGATAGGACCGCCCTGCCCCGCCCGGCAGTGGGGCCGCAGCCTACGGGGAAGCGCTGCTGCTGAGCCCGCCTCTGCCAGCTGCCCCAGAGGTGCCTCATGTGCGCGGCCGTCCGCGGTGTGAGTTGTCCCCTCTGCGAGGTACTCTGCGTACAAGACAGTGCCATGTTTTGTGAGGGGTCTTTGGCTATCCTGCCGAGTGCTTAAGGGGTGCCAGCTCAAAGCTCTACTGTCCCTATCTGTCTTCCCTTTCCACATGGCTAGCCTTCTTCATACCTACAAACTGCTTCCAAACGATTTCTTTCGTTTTAAAGGAAAACCAGGAAACGTATACCACGCACACAAAACGCCCTTCCACAAATCAAAACAGAAAACCCYATCCACACACAAAAAACCAAAACCAACCAAACAAACCCAACCACCTGCCCCTATAATTTTTCACCTCTTCAGGCTACCAGATTGCTTCTTTTCTGAATGACTAGAGAGCTGAATTTTAACTCTGATTTTGTCTCTGAGTCACAGCTGTGATTTTAAGGAGTTTCAAGCCGACCTCAAATCCATCTATTTGCTAAATGTGATGAGAGAAATTTCTTGCCTTTTGATTGTTGGTTCACCTGCTTTGGGGTCTGGAACTGATCCTCTTTTCTCATTTGCGTCACTTACCACTTCAAAATATAGGAATTTTAATTTTATTTGACCTATSACTGATAATGATCTAGTTGATGCAGCACTTAGTGATGTGGTTTAGTGGTGGATTTCACAGTGCTAGTTAATGGATTGGCTCAAGAATCTTACAGGTCTTTTCCAATTTAAGTTCTATGATTTTACCAGGCTAAGGGCAACTGGCAGTTGCTAAGGTTTATGAGTTAGAGTTTATAAGCTGTGGGTTTGGCTGCTTTGACAAGGAAAAGTCAATGACTAAGATAATTTTGAAAAGGAAAATCTTTTTTTAAGTGTGTCTGCATTATTGCATGCATTTGTCACAATTTTCAACCAGTCTCTCCAGGACAAAGTTTTCAGTGGCTGCAGTCCTTAATACTKCTAATCTGTCCTTTTTTCTTGATACGGAAGTGATGAGCTTTAGCCGCAGCACAAGCTCCCCCACGTGGTAGCACAAATTTTACTGTGCAGAGAAGACTCTTGGCTGTGAGGGACTCATAACAGCTCTGAACTTTGAGAAAGGCCTTTAGCCTATGCTGGAATGGTTTGGATACAGCTACTCCCTATGATTTGGCCTCTGCATCAGGGCAGGTAAGCCCAGGGGTTACTTTATGTAGCTGAATCTAGCTTAAGCTCTTTTGAGTCGAGGTGAGGCGACYGACTGGAGAAGTGTGAGTGAAGGAGGACATGTGCCACAGAAATGACATGACGCCTTAACTCAGTATGAGTTGTATTTAAGAAGATGAGGGAAAAAAGGAATAACTTGAAGGGTAAAGCAACAGCATGGACAGCACAGAAACAAAGCCTGTAGGAGACAGAAAGTTGTGTGGAGATCACAATGTTTCTTTGGAATTGTGGTCAAATGTGGGGCTTTCCAAAGCTGTTCAGGAAGTGTACCGGTTCTTCCACAGCCCACAGTGCTGGTTTCTGCCCATTGTATTCACTAGAAAGATCTGTGATCCACTGTGTGTACGGAAGAGGGAACCTGCTACACCAGTGCTCTGCTTCCTGTGTCATCTCTCACTGCAGATCTAGTACAAAAGTGTGGCTCCATCCAGGTAYCAGCAGCTGTACTCACAGGGAGAGGTGGTTTCTTTTCATGATCATAAGCTCCTATGGCAGCATCTAGAGAGAAAAGTGAATCCTGATAAGAAGATGAGCCAAAGAAGATTAATTGCCAGCAATCACTGAATGGGTCTAATGTCTGTGAGAGTTAAGAGTGAGCACAAACCCAGGTTTTAGTTAGCATGTGCTAACTAATAATGTAAATGTGTCACATTTTCTGGGGGCAGAAAGAATGGGGTGTCTAATGTGTGTGTGCATAGCACCTGCACTTGGTCCTGCACTGAAATAACCAGTTTCAGGCATAAATGTGGAATCTATTCATTGCTTCCTTTCCCTTGGAAGTTTTTCTTATATGCATATTATTAACAAACTGCTACAGCAATTTTGTGTAGGGAATGGAGTATAGAGGATCCTATTGTTATAGAAATGGAAATATCAAAGGGAATGATTATTCTATTTCCACCTGCTTGGATTTCCAAAGCCAACACTCATAGACATCCTGTAAGCCTCTGAACATGAAAGCACAAACCCAGAATTGTATATCATRTCTAGTCCAGTTTCATTGCCCCATTTACAGGCTCCTCCAAAGCCCTAGGTCTGTAGTTGTGTAACTGAATTCTCATGTATCCATTGTCTCCATRTTGAAGTGATCCACTCTGCAAGTGCTTTCTAACATTCTAATGTATCTCAGGAACACAACATAGCCAAAAGCAGGCATCTACTTTTTTGCAAGTGCTGTGAGACTTGCACTGCTTTCAGGTGGATCTGTGAGCTACTGTGGAAGTGGGGATCAATAGCTGTCCACATTAATCAGGGAATTGGAGTGATTTGAGCAGAGTGCTCAAACAGCATGGGTGAKTGTTCTGAGGCTCTAGCCAAGATTTTGATTGTTGTAAGAAGCATACAGCTTCCTGGTAACCGCACTGCATTCCGCCTTCAGAAGCTTCCCCAGTGTTCTCTGATGTTCCTGTACATCATGGCTAAAAGCTCTGTGTGGGCTTCCAACCTGAAGATRGACTGAAATTTATCAGTTGTTCTGCCAAGTAAAGGAACAGTGCAACGCTCAATGAAGAAAATGCTAAGTTCAGACTTTGTCAACAGAAAAGTTCAATAAATTTAAAAATGTGAATAACATTTGAAGTGGCTCACATTCTAGTGAAATAGATCCACTCCACTGTCACGTGAATGTGCCATGAATGGAGATTAGCTTTTCTCTACAAGTCAGTACACAGGTGCTACTGAGTTAATTCTGGTACAGCAAAACCTGGAGGACAAATGGGGCTTTGCTCTGCTGTAAATTCCATCCAGCATTCAATAATCCTGAACATAAGTGGATATGGATACGTAAGCAAGAGACGTTGAGGCAGAATTGCAGAAGGCAGAAAACAGTTATCTGCAGACTAACAATCTAAGTATAAATGATACAGTGCTAGAGGGACTGAGATTTATTTATTTAAGCAGCCTAACTGAATAGGAAGAGATGCCACAGCATGATGTTCTAGGGAAAAAATGTGACTTGGCAAAATGAAGGCTTACTTGTCTCACTGCAAAAGCCTGTGAAGTTCTACAGAATAAGGCATAGTTATCTTAAATACATGCTTTCGTAAGACTTCTCTGTAACAGAAAATAGTCACGAGGGTTTGAAGAGCCCTGAAGCAGTCAGGCTCGGCCAACCAATTTAATGGGTTTTAAAAGAGCCATCCTGAATATTTGCATACTCCCTGGACATGGGTAGTTACAGATAGGGAATCTTTTGCTTTCTTCTTCTCTTCTGCCACTCTGAGTTTGTCTGTATCTCCTCTTGTGACACAGAAGCAAACCCACCCTTGTGGATAAGCGCAAGTAATTGTATGCCAGTAATTAAATTTCTGATTTTGTAAGTCTTTATACTAAAAAGCTGGCTGGAGTATTATTATGTTTAAGGGAATGCTTAGTACTGTATCTCTGATTTTGGTCCAAACTCGCACACTAATAAGACTCAGATAATAAACTTATCTCAGAATGCTGAGATAAATACAAAAGTCAGCAGTGGTATTTCTCAGTTGATTGGCTAGAATTTAAATGTATTTTTGGCTCCTTTTCTTTATCTCTTGATTTTTTAACCCTTGTATTGAACCTAGATGATAACTCTGATGAGTTTTTGGTGTAGCCACAAGGATTAGAAATTAGTTATGTTACTTTTAAATAAGAGATTACATGACTGTTTTGTACCAGAGCTTGAGATTTTGATCTTAAAATGTCTCTTCACAAAAGAAACTTCAGCTAGACACTTCTCTCTTTCTTACCATTAACTGAATTCTGGGTGTTCAGCTCATTTGATGGAGTTATTTCTTTCTAATATTTGGGTTGAAGTGTACCAGTTGTACTTTGCTTTAGTGCTCTATCTTTCATTTCGAGATTTTTAAGATCACTCTCAATTTGTTACATTTTCAACCATATTGAAAGAGTTGAGCTGTAGTGAGGTATCCTCTGGTGTTTAAGTTCTTCCAAACTGGTAAGTACTTCTGGTTTAACAATTTAAATTTTATATGAATTTGAGACCTAAATTCTCAGTATTTTTCTGCATGGGTTGTGCAAATCAGTGCTTCTGACTGGATGTAAAGACAAAAAATAAATCAGTGGCTCTTTGAAAAAAGTTGGTGTAAGCAGCTGGCAACCTGTTGGTCAAGGTCCCTGCARCACATCTTTGACTTTCTATTTCCTGCTGTACCAGTGCTTCACCAGCTTTCTGTCACATGGGGGCTGAGCTCAAAGACTCAGAAAATGTTAAGAAGGGAAAAACATTGTCTTCTCTCTTGTTATGTTTACTGAGATGCAATGTATTATGTTTTCTGTCAACAGAAGAAACAGAATTGATACTACGGATTGTTGCTACTAGGCAATTTCCTGGTCATCTCTGAGAAACTAAAGCAGTGTCTTCTTGTGGACCATAACCATGGGACACAATTTCTTTCTTATCTTATTGTGTCTGCTGCTTTACTTGATAGAACATTTGCACTCTGGCTTGCTGGTTTTAGTAGTACTCCTGCTATGAGATCTTAGTTCTGGTGCCTTGGTGAGAAGTAACAGCATCACTTGCTCTGCAAAAATGGGTATAGAAGTTACTCTTTGTCCAAATGTGATCATAATATGGTTTGAAGTAGTTTTCCTTCCACATAGGGTTTGTCACCGTTTGAAAGACAGGTATTTGCTAATGAAGGCAGGGACCCCCCTTGGAGTGGTGGCTATGACCCCCTTCCCTCCGAATTATTACAGCTTTGGAA